CGATGACTATTTTGGGAGTTGCAACCCAACATTTGGAGAACTTGTTCTTGCCCTACATGATTAGGGGAATTTTGACTTTGTTGCCTTCAGCAAAACAAAACAAACAAACAAATACAAAAGGCAATTTGAGGACACTGGGATCAGAACTGTCAAATATTCTGGCATATCTCCAGGTCAGAGTCAAGTACATAGTGCATGCACTGTGCTCCCAGAGGACCGGCTCGGGAATATTTAAACTTAAAGTGAAGGGGGACATCTGGTCCTTGCAAAATTAAATGGCTTCATTTCTAAAAGTTACGCCTATATTTGGCTGCAAGATCCTCATCCATCAGAATAACTCATTCTAACATAATTTTGGTTTAGAAGGGACCTCTAGTGGTTTTTAAAGACATCCGTTTTTAAACTGTTGAATGTTTAAAATATTGTGGAAGTGGTTCATATGAACATGATAGGGAATTTTTATCAACTAATAATAATAATAATAATAATAATAATAATAATAATAATAATAATAATAATAATAATAATTTTTTATTTATAGCCTGCCCCTCTGCAAGGCAATTGGGGCAGATATCAGATTAGGTTTATTATCTACAGTGTGGCAAAAGTTGCTTTATACCAGAAGAACTGATTGTGGGAATTTCTTTGTAAGTCCAGGGAATAACATGTTACAGATATAATGCAAGCGAACTTTGGGCTGATAGGCCATAAAAACCTGGCATGTCTAGAACCAGGTACCAGGACAGTGTTTGCACTGTGGTGTCTCAACATGTGTGTAATTTTATGTAGCTTTTCCAATGTTGTTTACAAACAAGCAGAAAAAAAACATATGAAATGTATACTGGGCCCTTGGTATCCATTGAAATTTGATTCCAGGACCCCTCATGGATACCAAGGTCCTAAACATATCACCAAAATAATCCAGTTTGAGACGGCTTTAACTGCCCTGGCTCAGTGCTAGGGAATCCTGGGAATTGTATTTTATTGTGGCTTTAGAGCTCTCTGGCAGAGAAAGCTCAATGCCTCAGAAAAAACTACAATTCCCAGGATTCCATAGCACTGAGCCAGGGCAGCTAAAGCCGTCTCAAACTGGATTATTTCGGTAGTGTGTTTTGGACCTAAAATACATGGATGTTCAAGTCCCATTAAAAACAATGGATAGTAAAACGGTGCCCCTTAAATAAAAGGGTAAAGTTAAGGTTTTCTTTCTGTAATTTCAATTTGAATCCATGGATATGGAGGGCCAATAGTAAACTGAAATCAGATGGGGGGAATGAATGAGAAACGGGATGAGGGTCTAGTCTACCAAATATATCCAGTGATAAGTAACCAAGCCAAGACCAGAGGGATTAATGCAGGGGTAGGCAACCTAAGGCCCGGGGGCCAGATGCGGTCCCCTGAAGCCTTTGGACCGGCCCCAGGCCGGTCCTGCCACTGCCGCCACCGCCTCCCCCCCGCCGCCCGCCATGATGATATTGATGATTGTTGTTATTACTTGTTCTTTGGGTTTTCTTGGCAAAATCTCCACAGGGGTTTTGCCATGGCTTTTCTGGGGCTGAGAGAGTGTGCATGCATATTTTTTATTTATTTATTTATTTATTTAAAAAATAAATTTATTTATTGCTTCGGCCCCCCCATTGTCTGAGGGACAGCAAGCCGGCCCCCGGCTCAAAAAGGTTGCCTACCCCTGGATTAACATATCCTCATCCCTTACTCCAGCAAAATAGTGCCTTAGGTTGATTGAGACAACTCTACCCTAGACACAGGATGCCATAGCTGTAGAAAAAAATAACCTTGGAAAAATGGTGTATCTGACAAGAGACGCAGTGTTTCCAACAAGTCCCCTCATGTTTTGAAATAATATCTAAGGAGTCTGTGAGGCTGAGCTAGCCGTGCCTCATGGCATCCTCATGTTCACCTCTAAACAAAGGAGATTTTCACACTAGGGCCAAGTCCGCAACAATTTGCGCTATTGGAAGATAATGGAAACATAGCGCTATAACAATCTATAGTTCCGCACAGTTGCACAATCGCGCTATAACAACGAAATAAAAGCCAGACAAAAAACGCAGTCACGTTCCGCATACAAAAGCTGGTCGTGTTGCTGTATCATGATTGGATGTTTCACGCATGCATCACTATCACGCTACTGCGCATGTCTGAAAAATATGGTTCTGTCCTAAACAGAATAAAATAACATTTCTATATTTAACAATATTACACTCATCCCTCCACATTCACTGGGGTTAGGGGCACAGGATCTGTGTGAATGTGGAAAAACAGCAAATAACAAAAACACTGTGTTTTTACCTGAGAGAAGACCTCTCTAGGAATCTCTAGGTCCTCCAGTGCAACTCTGTGGTCAACATCTGCCAGGCATTGACCAGAGAATTGCGCTGGAGGAGCTACAAATGCCTAGTGGAGTGTTCTCTCTAGGAATCTCTAGGTCCTTCAGTGCGACTTTTGGTTAAAGTTGACCACAGAGTTGCAATGGAGGACCTAGATATTCCTAGAGAGAACATATTAATAAAATCCGTGAATAATCAAATAAACAAAAGTCAAAACCGCAAATGTGGAGGGACAAGTGTCTATCCAATTAAAATAAAATAGTCTCCTATACCTAAATATAAGACAGAAATCTACTCCAAAAGCGATCTTAGCAATGAGAGCGAATTGCCTGTGACGAAGTGCAGTCCGGGAAAAGCTCCTCAATAGTACTTCCCAATAGCGCAAATGCATCATTATCGGCTTCTATGTCTTTGCAACAACGCAAATAAAGCGCTATTGGCAAACCATTCACGAGTTTTCCCTGTTAGTAAGATGTTATGGGATAATTCCGGGTTATTCACAGGAGAAGTATCAGATGAGCGCAACGTTGTGTGAAAATCTTCGCACGATCGCACTATAATGGTGGGAGCATTCTGTTTTTCTCCTGTTTTATAACCCTTGTGATAATCTCCAAAGAAATGAACGATCTTGCCTGGTCAAGGACAGCCTCCTTGTGGGGTGATCTCCTGTGTGCGGTGGTCCCTCCGTACCCACAGATTCTTCCTCTACAGGTTCAACCATCCAAGGCTTGAAAATGTCCTGGAACCAAATTTTAGCGGATACCAAGGGCCCAATATACATTGATACCTGCTGGATGTATGGACTAGATCAGGGGTAGGCAACCTTTCCCCTTTAAGGGCCGAGGGACTTCAGCTCCCAGAAGCCTCAGCCATGTTGGCCAATAGTCCCATGTTGGCCAATAGCTCCTAGGATTCTGGGAGCTGAAGTCCCTCGGCCCTTAAAGGGGAAAGGTTGCCTACCCCTGGACTAGATGGTTTTTGGGTGCACCTCAGCTCATCCTCCCTACCCCTCTGCATGAAGAACACCAGTTATATTTTTAGGTGATAATATTTTATATGTTACCTTTACCTTTTATTTTATATGATACCACACAACATTTAGATCAATGATGGGCAATTCTCAGAAACTGGGGGCTGCATTGGCCCCAAAGGGACTCTTGCGTGGCCATACAGCCCCTACAACCCTTCACTCTCCAAAAACAAAGAACAGGTGGAAATTACTTGAAGGCACACAATAACACAACTTATTTGAAGATACCAGATAAGGGTACACACCATTTTTTTTTCACCGAAATGCTCCCCCCCTATACTGTTTGGTGATTACAATTTCACTAGTTGTGGGCAGACAAGCTGTTTTAGGAGTTTATCACATGAGGGAAATTGGGAGTTTAAACAATGATTAACCCATTAAAATCGTGCAATTGACATTAAAACGTGCTTAAAACGACATTAACGCAAGTTAATTATCCTGTGAAGATCCAGGGAATAACCAGGCAAGAAACAGCAAAAAGTCATTCACAGGAAAATTCTGTGAATAAGTTAATGTTGTTTCTTGCCTGGTTCTTCATGTAATAGTGGCACTTTAATCACATTTCGTCTCAACGTCGTGTGAAAACCATTTGTGCAATTGTGCACAAGTGTGGGTTAAACACAGATTCTGCATGGGATAACAGCGCTTTGCGCGCTGACGTCGTGTGAAAACCATTCACACGATTACGGGCTAATCACAGGTTAATCACTATTTATACTTCCAATTTCCCCCCGTGTGATAAACTCCCTAGGCACAGTGGAGGTCTTCTTCCCCCTCAAACAGGAATTGGCTGGAAAGTCAATTGCCAAATCACTTCCAGTTAGATAAAAAAAAGGCCTGTCTTGAACTGGTGGCCATAAGGGACATTAAGAGGCATTGAACTAACAAAAACTGAGGGATGCTGGAGGGCCCTGGAGCACCACAAAAAAAAGCCTTGGGGACCACATTTGGCCAAAGGGCTACACTTTCCCCAACTCTGATTTGTTGTTGTTGATATTGTGTGCCTTCAAGTCATTTATAACTTACGGTGATCCTAAGGCAAACCTATTATGAGATTTTCTTGGCAAGATTTGTTCAGAGGAGGTTTGGATTGCCATCCTCTGAAGCTGAGAAAGTGTGACTTGCCCAAGGTCACCCAGTGGGTTTCACAGCCGAGTGGGGATTCGAACCCTGCTCTGAAGAGTCACAGTCCAACACTGAAACCACTACAGCATGCTGACTCTCCATCATTATCTGGTTTAGGTTAAGTATCCCTTATCCAAAATCCCAAATACTCCAAAATCCAAAACTTTTTTCATAGGTGGCTGAGATAGTGACACCTTTGCTTTCTGATGGTTCAGTGGATACAAACTTTGTTTCATGCACAAAATTATTAAAAATGGTATGTATAAAATTGCCTTCAGGTTATGTGTATAAGGTGTATGAGAAACGTAAGTGAATTTCATGTTTAGACTTGACTCCCATCTCAAGATATTTCATTATGCATATGAAAATATTCCAAAATCCAAAACACTTCTGGTCCCAAGCATTTTGGGCGAGGGGGAGACTCAACCTGTACCTGCAAATAAGTTAGGGAAGAACAATAAACACATTTGTTGTTCTTTCCTAACTTATTTGAAAGAGACCAAGAGTGGTGTAGTGGTTTGAGCCTTGGACTATGACTCTAAAGAGCAGGGTTCAAATCCCAGTTTGGCCATATAAACCCACTGGGTAACCCTGGGCAAGTCACACACTCTCAGCCTCAGAGCATGGTAATGGCAAACCCCTTCTGAAGGAACTTGTCAAGAAAACCCTGTGATAGGTTTGCCATAGGTGAGAAGTTATTTGAAGGCACACAATAACACAACTTATTTGAAGGTACCAGATAAGGGTACACACCAGAGATGCCAAGAGTCCCACTTTCTGTGGCAGAAAATCAACCCTGCCATGGTAGTCCAAAACACACTGCAGAAATAATCCAGTTTGAGGCCGCTTTAAATGCCCTGGCTCACTGCTAGACAATCCTGGAAACTGTAGTTTATTGTGACACCAGGGCTCTCTCAGAGAGAAGTCTAATGTCTCACAAAACTACACTTCCCAGAATTCCTTAGCATTGAGCCAGGGGCAGTTAAAGGTCCAAAACACATTGCAGAAATAATCCAGTTTGAGACAGCTTTTAACTGTCCTGGCTTGGTGTTAGAGGATCCTGGAAATTGTAGTTTTGTGTGACATTTAGCCTTCTCTGTCAGAAACAGTTCTGGTGCCACAATAAAACTACAATTCCCAGGATTCATTAGCAATGAGCCAGGGCAGTTAACGCAGTCTCAAAATGGAATATTTCTGCAGTGTGTTTTGTACCAAAGTGGTCTCAAACTGCATTATTTCTGCAGTGTGTTTTGGTCCTTAGCCTTCACTGCAGATCTTTGGGACTGCAGCTCCCCAAAACCTTAACCATTGTATGCTGGCTGGGGATTCTGGATACTGCAGTGCATTGCAAAACACTTGAGGGAGATTTAATACTCCTGTATTAAAACATGAACAAACAACCAGGGATGATGCTCCATGCACATCTATCTCCTCTTAAATCTACTTATAGAAACACAGACAAGGATGGAAGGAACTTTTTGGCGCCCTTTTGCAAATAGCCTTTGCCTCAGTTATTCCTAGAGGACTTTTTTGGCGCCAGGACACGCGGGGGCGGGGCATTCCAAGAGGGATGCTTATTAAATATTCATGAACGGGGTGGGACCAAGCAGGAAGGCGGGAGATTTCTGAACCAGAGCTGCTCCTCTCAGAAGCGAGCGGGGGAGGGGAAGAGGGAGGTAAAAAAGGCGGGAATTTTTAAACAATGTATTTAAAAGGCCCAGGCATTTAAACCAATGTATTGTTACTGAGGGAAACAAAAATCCTGTGGTAAATAAGTGTCCTCTAAGTCTGTTTTCACAGAAACCTATCATTTTCACACACCTATAATTTGTTCCTCAGAGAAATAGCACTATAGGTGCCTCAAGGAAATTAAATACGTTATAAGCAAACATTTCCTGAATAAGGGAAAAGGTATCCATTTATAAATGAATAACAAATTATTGATTTACAATAAATCATGGCTAAATCAATGCAGCTTTCTGTCATCCCCTTCAAATTGGCCTGGATACTTTGAAGACAGGGGGAAATTTTAATACACAAGTATAAAGAAAATGTATTTTGAGTTTCCAAATAATAAATGTCTATTTTGATTATTTGTTTTGTTTCAGTGAGGGATAAAATGTTCAAAATTAGGGTGGAGGATGGGGACTCTGAACCCAAAATAATATATTATTTAATCCATATATAGATGTAATTTTAAACTGAGACAGCAGTTCTAGAGGACTCCATGATTAATGTTAATATTATTTTGGGTTTAGAGTCCCATCCTCCACCCTAATTTTGAACATTTTATCTCTCACTGAAACAAAATAAATAATCAAATTAGATAGGATGCTGTCTTAATATTAAAGGTATTATCATTTTTCATTGTTTTTCTAATCTGATTGTAACAAATATTTTATATTTTATCCCATTTTTAACTTTATTTTTAATTTTTTTAATGTATTGCATTGTTTTTATCTGTCCTATTTTGCTCCCTTTTTACTGGTCACTGACCAAAATAAATATATGTATGTAATTAAGAAGTATATTCTTTTTTGTTCTGTATCTTTATATGACTGTATATAACCAGGTCACAATGGTGGAGTAATCTAGATTGCTGTCTCAGTTTAAAATTACATCTATACTGGACTAATTTGCATCTACATTGGACTAATTTTGAAGATTAGTACTTCAATCTATTATGAGATGGAGATCTCTCAACTTTTATCTGAGGGAAACTGTAAGGTGTCTGTCTTTCTGTCACATAACCATTAGCCTATATAAGAACACAATATTGGTGCTGAAATTCTGCAATAACAAATACTTCATTAATTCCGAAAACAAGGATGTTATTATTACAATCTGGCTGTCTTCTTACATAGGCTAATGGTTATATGACAGGAAGACCTTACAGTTTCCCTCAGATAAAGGTTAGATATTGAGAAATCTCCACCTCATAATAAATTGAAATACTAATATTCAAAATTAGTCCAATATAGATGCAAATTAGTCCATGTATAGATGTAATTTTAAACTGAGACAGCAGATCTAGAGGACTCCATTCCTGTGACCTGGCCATTTACATTGCCTCATATGGTTCACATTTTTAGACAAAGTGAAGAAAGACAACTACAATGGAGTAAAAAGTTATATTATTTAGAATTTTATTGGTTTTTATAGATTTTAATTTAATTGTTCTGCTTTCCACACTTAGAAGAAAGAAAAGGATGGGTTCAACATGAGAGATATAAGTTCAAGTTACAGCTCTGTTCATAATATAGCACTAAACACATACTGTTTGAAAATTAGGCTATAAATGTATTTTCAAATGGCATAATCTGTCTTCCAGAAGTCAGAACAAATATGCCATTGATACTATACAAGACTGAGGGGTGTGAGCTTCATTTCAGGGAAAGAAAAATATCTTGGGGTTATATCAGGCTTTGGCAATATTTAATAAATGCCAAGTGTTTTAGTATTAAATATTATAGTATTAAATATAGAGGCATCCCTCTCGATTCGCAGGGGATCCGTGTTCCGGACACACACACACCGCAAATCCGGAAAAACGCAAATATTCAAGTTGCCATTGGTTACAATGGCCATGCGCTTTCAGTATAATAGAGTCTGTGAACCGCCTTGAGTCCCTTCTGGGAGAAAGGTGGCATACAAATGAAGTTAATAATAATAATAATAATAATAATAATAATAATAATAATAATAAATAGTATTAAATACAGTATTAAAATAGTATTAAATACAGCCCAAAACCAAACAAGTTTGAAAGTGAACAAGTAGCACTTTGAAAATCCACATTGCAGGAAAACCTTCACATTATAAAACAATGTTTTAAAAATATGACTAATTTCTCACATCTGTTTCTTGCAGGAGTGAGCAACTGTAGCCCTCCAGATGTTTTCGGCCTGCATCTCCCATCAGCTATAGCTAGCATAGCTCATGGTGAGAGATTATAACATCTGTAACCCAGAAACATCTGGAGAGTTGCAGTTGCCTGATTTATAGAACAGTTTCTGACGGTATCTTTGCCATCCATTCAGTAACTATTGACTTTACCAAAATTCTCCTATCAGGAGTCAAAGATATAGCCGTGTTAGTCTGTGGAATCAGTATCTAGAGAGATCTTGTGGCACCTTTGAGATTAATTGAAAAAACATAAATTGGCAGTATGAGCTTTCGTAAACTTATGTCTACTGCCTCAGATGCATTTGGTAGTCTACTGAAATCTACTTCCCCAAATGTACCTGAGGAAGTAGACTTTAGGGGGGTTGCAGACTGCCAGAAATAGTGCAAATTGAGTCCACTTTTAGGGTTAGGGTTAGTGCTAGGAAATCATGGGAATTGTTTTTTTCCTGAGACATTGAGCCTTCTTTGTCAGAGAGCTCTGGTGCCACAATAAAATACAGTTCCCATGATTCCCTAACCCTAACCCTAAAAGTGGACTCAATTTGCACTATTTCTAGCAGTCTGCAACCCCCCTTTAGTCTATGAAAGTTCATGCTGCCAACTTCTTTCTTTCAGTTAGTCTTAAAGGTGCTACATACTCTCCTATCAGGAGTTTTCATTATCATCCATTATTATATTCTTCAGGAATGCCTAAATTGGGGGTATAGGCCCTGTCAGGAACCTACTACCTGGCCTTGAGGGAGCTGAGCTGTGTGGGTCCTGCAAGGTCCCATCTTGTTTTCCACATTGTTCCACATGTAAATAAACAACAACAAACTTTTGAGAGAGGTGGTTTGAGGATTCAGAGTCTGGTGTCATATTTATGCTGAAGAAACTTAACCAAATCTTTCTTAAATCTTAATAAGGTGGTAAGAATTCCTGAACTGCTTTCCGGAGTTATTAATGAGCTGGATGAAGGCCAACAGAAAGAGGACAGGTCCACCCAAAACCAAGCTCTTGATGGTAGGTAGGTCAGTCAGTTTAGATATATATGTAGATAGCCTGTTCTGGATGAGGTTGTATTCTGCCTGAAAATTATCAGTTCAACAGTTGCTTGACAGTTTTATACAGTCTGGAGTGTCTTTTCTTAGTTACACTTTCATAAACAATGCAGATGGTGCCACAATTTCACGTACTTTGGTGATATCTACATTACAGTACAATTGGCCCTCCATATCCACGGATTCTTTATCTACAGATTCAGGCATCCATGACTTGAAAATATTAAAATCCTCCTTCCCATCCAGGAGGATTATGAAAGTAGATGAAGGAAAGAAGGAGCGTAGGAGAGCTATATCTAAGAAGAAGGAAAGAACGGAATGGTATAGGAAGGATTTGAAGGGATATATATTAATCAATTTAACCTCACTCCTTCAGAATAGGAATTAGTTAAAGATATCTTTCTGGAATATTTTAGCCATTTTTGAATGGATATGTGAATGTACACACTACATGTATGTTATATGTATGGAAAAAATAGGTTTTAAGTTGTTTGTTTAGACTTACTAATAAACATTTTACTTAATTTAAAAAAAAAGAAAATATTCAAGAAATATATACATTCCAGAAAGCAAACTTTGATTTTGCCATTTTATATATGCCATTGTGTTTAATGGGACTTGAGCA